ATTACTGTCCTTTTGCATGAATGTGTTCTGCTGAATGATTTGCCCTATTTCAGGTGCAATGTGTGGTTAGGTAGGATCTCTGCAGTTCCTGTTACCGGGCGACTGGGCAGGTCAGGGATCGGGTCTTCTGACTCAAAATATCTTGAGGTATGACTGATAAGGTACTAAGTGTGGTGGGGCCACGTGGTCCATTGCCATGGGTGACAGGCTGCTTAAAAAAACAGCACTGGTTGAAACATTAGTACCAGTTTTGATTGATGAAGCTTTCTTCTTTTTTTCTCTTCTGCGTGGCTCTCCATAAAGTCACACCATAAGTAGAGGAACTGTCTTTTCTATTCTACAGCAGTGTCTATAAACTGATGTGAAAGACTTTTTAGGGAAACAAAGCTATCCGATACTATACTTTCTCTAAAAAGTTCTATAATCTTTTCCTATTGAAATTTTGGTTGCTTTGGTTGTACTGTATTGATCTCTTTATGCGCTGCCATGTGTTTTACATATAAGTGGACTGTCTCTCTTTTTGTAGAAAGAAGTATTTTTTATTTTTTTTTTTACATTCCTGAATTGTTTTACTCTGTATAACCGAATCCCCTCAGCCTATGTGACTGAGGTGTCCCTGTTCGGTCTGTGTGGCTGATTTATGCATAGTATAGTCTGGTATATATCCTTGGCCAGGATTGGGGCCAGATATACGGTTCCTGCTATTATCTAGGTATATCGTATCTTTGCATATGATCGTGGGGCCTAGTAATAGATGAATTCTGACATTATCTAGGTATATCGTATCTTGCATTTGATCGTGGGGGCCTAGTAATAGATTAATTCTTGAGGAAGTCTCACCACCGTGTGAGATGGGGAATTGTACCACCGTGTACACCCCAAATGGGTATCTGTGTGATACCACTGGGAGCTCCTCCTGGATTGCCAAAGTACATGATATATAACTTTGGAACAGGAGTGGCTGAATCCCTCAAGGAATGGAACCAAGGCACACAGGGGTTTTAGTACCCCTAGAAGGGAAATTTCACCTTAAACTCTTGAAAGAATGTAAAAAAAAAAAAAAAAAAAAAAAAAAAGTAGAAAGAAATAATGAGATCTATATATAGATTGAGGTACAGTCCAGAAAAAAAAAAAAATAAGAGAGAATGCAGCCTATTAGAGAAATGTGCTCATATTTTTGTCTAGAATTTAAGCAAGCGAATTGTGAGAGTATGTTGTTGTGATAAGATGTGTGAGATCCATGGATTGTATGTTGTATTGTCTGGGTTGACTGTATTAATTGTGCCTAAAGTGTCGTGTCAGCAAAATATTTGACAATACTGATTCAATATCAGTGGCATAATGATTTGTTTTGTGTTTTGTTACTTATGTTTTAAGGTGATGTGATGTTGCAAGTAAAGGTAACGAGTCAATACCATGTTGGTCATGGCATGGCAACATCTAGAAGATAAACACATTTTGATCTTAAAATTACTAAATTTTGATTTTTGACTTTTAGAAGTTTAAACAAATTGAGACATGATTGGGTAACTAATCACTTAAAATCGTAAAGCTATAAGTGTAATATGCAGAAGTTTTGCACTTTCCAATTTAGGAATGTGATAAATTTAATGTAGGAAAAACAAAACAAAAAACATGTAAAATTGGTTTGGACATTTAAGCCACACCCATTGCCGTTATTAAAATTGATAAAAAGTCAAGGGGAATATTAAAAGAATTAGTGACATGTAAAAAGCATTTTCACTGATCTTATTTAAAGTTTAAAAATCAGGAGTGCTGTCTCATATGTTTAAGGTGCTGACAGCCCACCGAGTGCTGACCCCCCTTTTTCTTTAACACAGGTTAATTGCATGGTTTGTGAATGAGAACAGCTGTGTGGTCATGCAAATTTACTGAGCCAAGTGAACTCTAAAAGGAAATCAGATGTTAATAGTGAATTGTTATGTGTAATTCACTATCTTGTGTTTGTTTTTAGAAGATACAGTTTTGGAAGTTTCCAGTGTGTTCAGTATGGTGAAGTATAAACTCTGCACACAAATGGTAGCTTACTAAAAGGTTTACATTGAGCTGCTCATTTTTAACCATGGTGTATAATAATAATAATTTTTTTTCTTAATGGTATACCATAAACAAAATCCACGTGGTAATAATTAAATTTGACGTCAATAATTTTTGGTATTAGAAAAGTGCACTGTTAGAACAACTAAGAGAAAATTTTAAAAGTATGTACTGTACGTTTTGTTGTTAGATCTTTAACCATTGGTTTATTAGGAGGAAAGTGTCATGTTTGTTACTAAATGTAATTGATGCTTATTCATCAGATAGATCAATGCCTTGGACTTCTTTCAGGCTTTCAGAACGGAAGATCACAGCCTTCATAAAAAAAATAAATCAACCAATGGAAGTATTCCAAATTGTTTTCTTCCTTGTTTTATTAGTCTGTTTTTCTTTTGTAAATACTTAAATGTTTCACCCCCATTAGCTGATATTGGTGTAGTTGGTTAAGTTTGTACCTTCTTTGGAAGTTCCTAGTTGCCTATTTATTGGGTGTTAGATCTTCTTTGTTGTGTGTTCTGATCTAACATGTATGGGCTCTGGTATTAACGAGTTCAACACTCTAAGGGAGGTCCCCAAACGAACCAGACAAAGCCAGAAATCCCCTGATACCAGTGACAATAGAACTGAGCATTTTCTATCTTATAAAGTTTTTATATTATTGTGAAAGTTTGACTATTAAGTTGAATAATTGTTTCTCTATTTTAACACCTATAATATCCTAAGAAATATAATTCATGTATGTTAGTGTTACTATATTGATTGTTAAGCTCAGTTAGATATTGTCAAGATTTTAAATTAAAGCTATGTCAGGGTCTTTCAGAGCTTTTCTTCAGATCTGTCTCCTCTATTTCCAAAGAGCAGCAGGGGTATGCTGGTACATGTAGTTCCATGACTTTAAATTATAAGGTTCTGCTGTTGCCTATTGTCCCACAAGACTTTGTTTAAGGCTGCTTAACCTCCTGCTGATGATTTAATGAACCCAGCCAGGCCATCTCTTCTCAATCTAATGTGGCTCATTGCCTCAGGCTTTACACCTTAAAGGTCCTAGCAGATTGTCTCTGTGTCTCCGAATGTGTTTCAATCCTGTTTCCTGTTTGGTGTCACCGTACATCTCTATCTGCTCTTAGAGACTCCTGTTTGTTTTGCTTTCTTTACTACCTACTCCTAGTTTTTCTGTTCCCAGTGTCTGTGTGTTTCTATGCATGTCAGCTTGAACTGAGCTCCCAACTGTCCAGTGATCCCTGTGCCTCATCACTGCAAGGGGTTCTTATTTATCAGTTAGTAATTCCCAGTAGCTTCCTGCCTGGGTGAGTACGAGGACCGCAACCTGGGGACTGTCTGCAGCAAACCCATCTCTACCTTCAAGAGCTCTGGAGAAGACAAGGCAGTTCCTTAGACTCTGCGCCTCGGCCCTTACAAGGGCCCTCGCCCTTGTTACATGTGCGGACATGCTGTGTTCTCCCCAGATGATACTGTTGGGTATCCTTCCGTTCTTAGACTCCTTGATATATCAGCTGTATCCTGTGTGCCTGCATTCCCTGTGAGCTCTGATCCCCAGTGCTACAAGTGTTTCTTACTAGCATTTTGTGTCCTGCTTGACTTTAAGACCAGTACCCCAGTGCTAAACTGTCCTCCTGCCAAGTCCTGTATTCTGTGCTCTCCAAGTCTCCTGTCTCTGTGCTTACATGTTCCTGGTCAACTGTAAGGTCACTGATCCCAGCCATACATGATAGGCCCTTTTTAAGATGGCCGATTGTTCATGATTGAATTCTGAATAGTGTAGTTAAGTTTGGATGACGACTGAGCAACACATTATACAAAGTGAGAATGGTTTCTCCTCGTATTAAGATGTATTTCTTTTCTTCTAGGTCTTATTGTCTCTATAACACAGATTTACTTCGGCAGAAAAATAAAAACGCCATGGCTTCATGGGCATTTTTGTTAAATACCTAATGTTGGACTAGCAATCTGAATGACGCCATCTTCAAAAATATCCTCCCTTATTCCTGGACTTCTTGACATCAGCCACAAACAACAGTGATGGAGAAAAGTGGTTTCAAAAACTTTTGAGTATCTGAAGAACATTTCCACTTATCATTTCAGCTGTCCATGAATAGAAGTCAAAGCTCAATTTGCTATAGTTGCAGCAGATCTGCACACCTACCAGAAGTTTTCTTGTCATGTGGACTGCGATGGTCCTGAAGAAAATATTATGTATGAACATTGTACGAGTTCTTAGGTGTTGCAGTACAGTCTTATGAAGGACTAGCTGTCAAGGATACATTGGAGGAATCAACTACAGACTTGGCGTTCATAAACAGTTAGCCCAACACACAGTTTTTTTAGACTTTTTGATTTTTAATTTTTGTTTAATGTTTTTTTTGCATTTTTTAGCCTTTGTGAAGCAAAATTAGATTTTTTCTGCAGAAGTAAATTGGATGTATAAATCAGGAGAAATATGGACTAGAAAGAAATATTAGGCAAACAAAGTGAGATGTATGAGAATTTAAGGGAGGAATTGTAAAGCAAACATGTTTCTCAAATTTCTTTTTAGGAAGGGATAATTGTTTGGACAATATGATGTCCAAGAGGAGGGATTGTAAGGGAAAATGGAGCAGCCATTTATTGAATTAGATGGCCTAACAACCTATTTATTTTATTTCCTTGTTCTGTATGAGAAACAACAGTTTCACACCTCATGTTCTCTCCTGCTGGCTCAACATTTTCTACTTCCAGTTCACACCACCTATTGTCTACAAGACTATTGTCACAGCCTTTGAAGATCTGTTAAACAACAAAGGACACTGGAAGTAACAATAACATATGGATAACTATTCGCATCTCAATGAGTTACACCAAAGATACAGATGACTCTTCAAAGAAAGATCAGATAGCTAGTACCACCACCCACTGTAGAGCATATAAATTGTATTAGAAAACCTTAGTAAGATAGAGCATTTCTTTGAATCCAACACCATGTAATGTTCTGCTCTCCCTGCATGGAGGTCTAGCTACATGCTTGTATAATAAACATCTACTTTACAATCTGGCTTCAGCAGTCAAAATGTTACTGAAACCCATGAGTTTTGGGTTTCCCCGTCACCACCCCGGACCCTGCATTCACTATGTCCGCTCTCCCCGGACCCCGCTTTCACTATATCCGCTCTCCCTGGACCCCGCATTCACTATATCCCCTCTCCCTGGACCCCGCATTCACTATATCCGGTCTCTCTGGACCCCGCATTCACTATATCCGCTCTCCCCGGACCCTGCATTCACTATATCTGCTCTTCCCGGACCCTACATACACTATATCCGCTCTCCCTGAACCCCGCATTCACTATATCTGCTCTCCCCGGACCCCCCGCATTCACTATATCCACTCTCCCCGGACCCTGCATTCACTATATCCGCTCTCCCCGGACCCCGCATTCACTATATCCACTCTCCCCGGACCCCACATTCAGTATCGTGATTTGTCTGTTACCAAGACTATTGGACTCCCTGCCCAGTGCAGAATCTGCCAGCCACTGACATAGGTCCATGCACACCAACAATACAGACTCAGTCTTGGGGATGTCTTTGTAGAGTTTTGATGAAAAACTTGGAATGGGAGGAGTTTAGGGGTCCAGGATATTCCAAAACGATCACAGGTAATCCTTTAGCACAAACCCTTCTAGCTGCAGACACACATGAAAGTCTCACAGTAGGCCTTACTCACAATGTCCCTGGATCTGGCTGCCACCCAGCTTTCACAGGAAGTTCCTCTGTGAGCAAAATAAAAGATCCTTCTGCAGACCAGGGCTTCAGAACAATGTCTTCCAGAAAAACTCTTTAGAAATCTTCTCCAGGTCATCAGCACAACTCCTGCTAAGGCTCAAACTGCAGTTCTTGTCTCAGTATAGCTGCCTCCAAGGATAGCAGCCCCAGGAGAACAGGAACCCTTCCTAGCAGAGAAAGGCTCCTCTGGAAAGGCCTCCCAAACATTTATTGACCCCCCAGCCATCTGTTGGATGCCCCTTTTCCAGGGATTGGCTGAGGAATTATAAATATTCATAACTGCGTATCTGACTCCCCCTGCCCTATGTTCTGGAAGCTTCTCCAAGAAGCAGGAGGGAAAAATCAAACACCCAGCTCAGAAAGCCCTGACTAGACAAAAACAATAGATCCATGCTCCACTGGCTACAGTGAAGTCAGCAACTAACAGCCTAAGTAGAGGAAGGTGCCACTGTCTGTATGTTTTGAAGTATATTTACATTTATATTATAAGTTCATTAGTCAATGGGGTTGTAGTGGATAAAAAAAATATATATATATATATGCTGTATATATTCTACCAATAAATGTAGTTTTGCATATTCTACACATAAACCTTTCTTTGTTTTCTTATACCATATATAATCACTTAAATGAACAAATGTTTATGAACAGGATCGTTCTATTTCCACATGAAACATTTCCTACCACGTGCATTTTTACGTTTCCTAATAATGGATAAAGTGCAGCGCTAAAATCAACAAGCAGAGAAATCGATCTGTAAAATTCGATCTAAAAAGTTCGATCCCACATTATGTTATCAAATGTTCGTTTAGTTCATCAATATGATATAAAAGTGGGCACAGCTATGAGGAATCCAAAAATGGCGAAAATGCGCACTCACCGACCGCGCATAGGAAATGCGCATGTGTGTATTAAATCCCACAGACACCGATCTCCCTCTGGAAGGAATGTCATCAAACGATAGTCTGCTGGGCTCACAAGACCTCCTCAGGATCAGGATAGATCAGCCGGATAAGAATCCCTCCAAGTGAAGGCTTCCCTCCTCTGGATGTAGTATGGAATTGGAAGCTGTGTCTGCTGACCCCTCAAAGAGGGGCAAAAAGTGGAAGAGTACCCATAGTGTAGTATGTCACAAAAACTTTATTAACAACAAGCTTAGTGCAGCGTAGATCTGTGCAGGTGCTGGCAAATGCCAGGAATAAAATGCAACCCTCTGTTTCCCTGCATTTTATTCCTGGCATTTGCCAGCACCTGCACAGATCTACTCTGCACTAAGCTTGTTGTTAATAAAGTTTTTGTGACATACTACACTATGGGTACTCTTCCACTTTTTGCCCCTCTTTGAGGGTCAGCAGACACAGCTTCCAATTCCATACTACATCCAGAGGAGGGAAGCCTTCACTTGGAGGGATTCTTATCCGGCTGATCTATCCTGATCCTGAGGAGGTCTTGTGAGCCCAGCAGACTATCGTTTGATGACATTCCTTCCAGAGGGAGATCGGTGTCTGTGGGATTTAATACACACATGCGCATTTCCTATGCGCGGTCGGTGAGTGCGCATTTTCGCCATTTTTGGATTCCTCATAGCTGTGCCCACTTTTATATCATATTGATGAACTAAACGAACATTTGATAACATAATGTGGGATCGAACTTTTTAGATCGAATTTTACAGATCGATTTCTCTGCTTGTTGATTTTAGCGCTGCACTTTATCCATTATTATTTTACCTAAGGCGGTTGTGATCTCCTTTTAGTGCTATTAGCTGCTTACTTTCTTATTATACAGGAGCGCTCACTACACTTTTACATTTTTACGTTTCCTGATTGAAGATCTCATTAACCGTTAGAATGTTGTTCCTTCAGATAAGAAACAAGACACATGTTCTGTTATTTGCTTTTGATTTCTCATCACTACGGTCAAAATTGACCTTCCATTTGTCCCTATTAGCCTTTCCAACTTTGTATCAAAAAAATTTCCCACTCACATGTAAAACAGCATAATCCAGCTTTTACCCATATCATGGGTGTATGTGCATGGTTGTGGGTGATCCAAGATGGCCCCCATGCTGGAACTGATATGGGTAAAAGCTGGATTATGCTGTTTTACATGTGAGTGGGAAATTTTTTTTGATACTTGAGTATTAAAATACTGATTTACACTATGGAGGATCTCTGTTTGTTTCTGCTATGATCCTCTGTAAGAGAACGACCAGTTGAGTTGGAGTACTAAAGAGGATTGCTGATCTGTGGGAATTTCCAGGAGGGTCCATCTGGTGGTGATGAGGATATCCCTGTGAAAGTGTGACTTAACCTTGAAAAGCGAGCTGGCCCTTGTGGTCACTGTAAGGAGGTGAAGGGGCATTTTGGCTAATTCTGGATTCATGGTTTGGCACTGGATTCACTTCACGTTGGGTTGAGTTTACACGTGATTTATTTTTGTGGAGCACTATTTAATATTATAAGTGCAGCGTGTGGACTTGGAGTGGACATTTATTTTCACTGAGCGTGGTTTGTACACTTGCACTGTGTTTTTATGTTCATATATATATATTTTTTGATCCCTTAAATTGAGGGAATCATCCGAAATGTATTTAATGTAGTGTTTTGCACTTTATTATATAACATTTATTTATAGTTTATTTTTATACACGGTTTAATGAGTGATATTTAGAATTGTGATGCACATGTTACTATTTATTTAGCGCTACACCAATTTATTTATTTACTTTTACTTTGTATCTTTTCTCTTTTAAATAAACATTCACAACTTTCAACCCTGAGTAGAGGTCGTTGATCTCCTTATCACAGGCATGGTCCACCATTGTCACTGTGTGGGGGGGGGGCAGCCCAGAACTATGATGTACAATCATGTGAGACTATAGTGATTGGGTTTACTTCTACATTGTATTTTAACAGATGCAGATATGGTAGCACTCAATGCCTGTTTACTGGCTGCTCTCTACCTCTGGAACACGTTCTCACTTCAGGGCTGCCATATAAAATCCTAGTAATTGTCTCAGGTATGACATACGATGGAGCAATGAAACATGAAGTAAAGAAAATATTATTATACAGGATTTATGGCGCCAACAGTTTGCTCAGCGCTTTACAATATAACGGGAGACAATACAGCAACAATACAGTTCAATACAAGAGGGATAGGAGGACCCGATCCTGGGAGCTTACAATCTAGGAGGGAGGGGCTAGTGGTACAAAAGGTAATAACTGTGTGGGATGGACTGGTAGGAGGAGTAGAAGATTCCATTATTAGCTGAGAGCAGGATATGCTTCCCTGAAGAGATAGGTTTTCAGAGATTGCCTAAACGAGGGCAGAGTAGGAGATAGTCTGATAAATTGGGATAGAGAGTTCCAGAGGATGGGGGAGGCTCTGGAGAAGTCCTGGAGATGAGCATGGGAGGAGGAGACAAGGAAGCTAGAGTGTAGGAGGTGATGCGAGGAGCGGAGAGTACGTTTGGGTGATACTTGGAGACAAGATTGGTGATGTAATTTGGGGCAGGGTTATAAATGGTTTTATATGTTAATGTTTTGAATTTTATCTGTTGGGCAATGGGAAGCCAGTGGAGGGATTGGCAGAGAGGGGTGGAGGACACTGATTGGAGGCCAGCGGAGGGATTGGTAGAGAAGATTGGAGGACACCGAGTGGAGGCCAGTGGAGGGATTGGCAGAGAGGGGTGGAGGACACTGAGTGGAGGCCAGCGGAGGGATTGGTAGAGAGGGTTGGAGGACACTGAGTGGAGGCCAGCGGAGGGATTGGTAGAGAGGGTTGGAGGACACTGAGTGGAGGCCAGTGGAGGGATTTGCAGAGAGGGTTGGAGGACACTGACTGGAGGCCAGCGGAGGGATTGGTAGAGAGGGTTAGAGGACACTGAGTGGAGGCCAGCGGAGGGATTTGCAGACAGGGGTGGAGGACACTGAGTGGAGGCCAGTGGAGGGATTTGCAGAGAGGGTTGGAGGACACTGACTGGAGGCCAGCGGAGGGATTGGTAGAGAGGGTTAGAGGACACTGAGTGGAGGCCAGCGGAGGGATTTGCAGACAGGGGTGGAGGCCAGTGGTGGGATTGGATTGACAGAGAGTGAGTTACAATAGTCAAGGCGAGAGATAACCAGGGAGTGAATACGTTGCTTAGTGGTTTCCGAGGTTAGGAACGGGCGTATCTTGGAGATGTTGTGGAGGTGAAGTCTACAAGATTTGGACGGCGATTGGATTTGGCACTGAAAGGACAGATAGGCATTCGGGATTACACCTAGTACCCTGGCATGAGGGGAGGGACTGATGGTTGTATTATTGGTCGTATATTCTGATAAGTGTGGTACATGGCTCCTCCTCTGCACCCGGGATAAGGACACCTTACCATAGAACACAGTATAAGGGTGTCTCATCTTTCCCAAGAGAACTAATGCTGCTGCCTATATCAATATAAAATACACACACATTTATCACTCATACTGACATTTTTTTTTTTCTTGTATCAGTTCATGAGTTCATTAACCACCTCCCATCCGATCCCAATGTTTATAAACGGCTGGACGGTGGCAGTGCAGGGTTGGGTGGCCGTTTCTAAACGGCCTCCCCGCACCCTGCTTGTGCGCGCCCCCTGGGAACGCACAGTACCGCAATCCGGACATAGTGAAACACCGATCGTCGGACGGGACCTCAGTACGAGGTCCCGATCATGTGATCACTGATTGGCCAATCAGTGATCACATGCAGAGTAGTAAGCAAGATGTCACTTGTGACATTATTGCTTACTACATGTGAAATCTGTGAATGATCACAGAGGTCACATGGTACAGGGCTATTCACAACAGCCTTATACCATGTGACAAGCTGTGACCAATCACAGCTCATTCATTAGTTCTCAATGGCTGCAAGAATGCAGACAGAGAGAAAGAGAAATGATTGCTTTTACATCCTAAATGGGTGTAAAAGCAATCAGTGTAAAAAAAAAAAAAATCTTCATCACCCCCACAAGTAGTAGTGTCCCCATGGTGACCCTGTACTGCTAGGGTGACAGTATGTAAAAAAAAAAAACATAAATAATAATATAAAAAAATAAAATAAAAATTTCAAAAATGTTTTAAAAATTATCATTTTTGGTTATAAACTAATTTCACTTATTTTCTTTTTACTAAAAAGATAACAGAATAAATTTTGGCGAATATTTATGATGAAATATTATTTTTATTTGCAAAATTTTATAAGAAAAATACTTTTTTTCAAAATTCTTGGACTTTTTCATTTACATAGCAAAAAAAAATAAATATCCCAGCGGTGAATAAATACCACCAAAATAAAGCTTTATCTGTCTCAAAAAAATGGTAAAAATTCATTTGGGTACAGTGTTGCATGACCACGTAATTGTCATTCAAAGTGTGATAGCGCTGAAAGCTGAAAATTGCCCTGGACAGGAAGGGGGTGAAAGTGTCCGGACTGGAAGGGGGTGAAAGTGTTTGGACTGGAAGTGGGTAAAAGTGTCCGGACCGGAAGGGGGTGAAAGTGTCCGGACTGGAAGGGGGTAAAAGTGTCCGGACTGGAAGGAGGTGAAAGTGTCCGGACTGGAAGGGGGTGAAAGAAAGTGTCCAGACTGGAAGGAGGTAAAAGTGTCCGGACTGGAAGGGGTGAAAATGTCTGGACAGGAAGGGGGGTAAAAGTGTCCGGACTGGAAGGGGGTGAAAGTGTCCGGACTAGAAGGGGGGGGAAGTGTCCGGACTGGAAGGGGGTAAAAGTGTCAGGACTGGAAGGGGGGAAAGTGTCTGGACTGGAAGGAGGGGAAAGTGTGTCCGGACTGGAAGGGGGTGAAAGTGTCCGGACTGGAAGGGGGTGAAAGTGTCCGGACAGGAAGGGGGTGAAAGTGTCCGGACTGGAAGGGGGTAAAAGTGTCTGGACAGGAAGGGGGTAAAAGTGTCTGGACAGGAAGGGGGTAAAAGTGTCCTGGACAGGAAGGGGTAAAGTGTCTGGACGGAAGGGGGTAAAAGTGTCTGGAAGGGGTGAAAGTGTCTGGACAGGAAGGGGGTAAAAGTGTCCGGACTGGAAGGGGTGAAAGTGTCTGAACAGGAAGGGGTAAAAGTGTCCGGACTGGAAGGGGGTGAAAGTGTCTGGACAGGAAGGGGGTAAAGTGTCTGGACAGGAAGGGGGTAAAAAGTGTCCGGACTGGAAGGGGTGAAAGTGTCTGGACAGGAAGGGGGTAAAAGTGTCTGGACTGGAAGGGGTGAAAGTGTCTGGACAGGAAGGGGGTAAAAGTGTCTGGACTGGAAGGGGTGAAAGTGTCTGGACAGGAAGGGGGTAAAAGTGTCCGGACTGGAAGGGGTGAAAGTGTCTGGACAGGAAGGGGGTAAAAGTGTCTGGACAGGAAGGGGGTAAAAGTGTCCGGACTGGAAGGGGGTGAAGTGTCTGGACAGGAAGGGGGTAAAAGTGTCTGGACAGGAAGGGGGTAAAAGTGTCCGGACAGGAAGGGGGTAAAAGTGTCCGGACTGGAAGGGGGTGAAAGTGTCTGGACAGGAAGGGGGTAAAAGTGTCTGGACAGGAAGGGGGTAAAAGTGTCCGGACTGGAAGGGGTGAAAGTGTCTGGACAGGAAGGGGGTAAAAGTGTCCGGACTGGAAGGGGTGAAAATGTCTGGACTGGAAGGGGGTAAAAGTGTCCGGACTGGAAGGAGGAGAAAGTGTCCGGACTGGAAGGGGGTGAAAGTGTCCGGACTGGAAGGGGGTGAAAGTGTCCGGACTGGAAGGGGGGGAAAGTGTACGGACTGGAAGGGGGTAAAAAAGTGTCTGGACTGGAAGGGGTGAAAGTGTCCGGACAGGAAGGGGTAAAAGTGTCTGAACAGGAAGGGGGTAAAAGTGTCCGGACTGGAAGGGGGTGAAAGTGTCCGGACAGGAAGGGCGTAAAAGTGTCTGGACAGGAAGGGGGTAAAAGTGTCTGGACAGGGAAGGGGTAAAAGTGTCCGGACAGGAAGGGGGTAAAAGTGGCCGGACTGGAAGGGGTGAAAGTGCCTGGACAGGAAGGGGGTAAAAGTGTCCGGACAGGAAGGGGGTAAAAGTGTCCGACTGGAAGGGGGTGAAAGTGTCTGGACAGGAAGGGGGTAAAAGTGTCTGGACAGGAAGGGGGTAAAAGTGTCCGGACAGGAAGGGGGTAAAAGTGTCCGGACTGGAAGGGGGTGAAAGTGTCTGGACAGGAAGGGGGTAAAAGTGTCTGGACAGGAAGGGGGGTAAAAGTGTCCGGACTGGAAGGGGTGAAAGTGTCTGGACAGGAAGGGGGTAAAAGTGTCCGGACTGGAAGGGGTGAAAATGTCTGGACTGGAAGGGGGTAAAAGTGTCCGGACTGGAAGGAGGAGAAAGTGTCCGGACTGGAAGGGGTGAAAGTGTCCGGACTGGAAGGGGGTGAAAGTGTCCGGACTGGAAGGGGGGGAAAGTGTACGGACTGGAAGGGGGTAAAAGTGTCTGGACTGGAAGGGGTGAAAGTGTCCGGACAGGAAGGGCGTAAAAGTGTCTGAACAGGAAGGGGGTAAAAGTGTCCGGACTGGAAGGGGGTGAAAGTGTCCGGACAGGAAGGGCGTAAAAGTGTCTGGACAGGAAGGGGGTAAAAAGTGTCTGGACAGGAAGGGGGTAAAAGTGTCCGGACAGGAAGGGGGTAAAAAAAGTGGCCGGACTGGAAGGGGTGAAAGTGCCTGGACAGGAAGGGGGTAAAAGTGTCCGGACAGGAAGGGGGTAAAAGTGTCCGGACTGGAAGGGGGTGAAAGTGTCTGGATTGGAAGGGGGTAAAAGTGTTCGGACTGGAAGGGGATAAAAGTGTTCGGACTGGAAGTTAATAGCAATAAGTGTATAGAAAATGCAATGCAATAAGGAAAAAGTCATCGGTTTAATTATCAGCACAATTCGAGGTCTCCTGTGACTGTATTGATAATCAGAGCTGACCCTGAACCCCACATCACTGAACATTCGGGTGTAACAACTCTCGTCTTTATACTCCTGGAACTCTGGGTAGGATACAAAGTCACCAGAACACTTCCATCATCTATGGCAATGTTTCTCAACCTTATTTCAGTCAAGGCACCCTTTAAAATTATGGACAGTCTTGAGGCGCCCCATTCTAAAATGTGAAAAACTATTCTAATTTTATATAAATGCAGCAACATCCACACATGTAGGACACCCAATGTTAGAGGTGATTTATTCTTCCAAAGCAAATACACTTTTGTACACTGGTACTGACTAGCATTCCCATGTTTCTCTTCTCCCTCAGTTTTTTCTCTATCACTGAGCTAATATGATCCCAGCACTGATGGAGAGGGGTGGGGGAGGATCAAACTAGGATGTTGTGCAGGCAGATGACATCCTCCCTATCAACTGGTGATGTCATTGGTTGTCAGGACATTGGTGGATAAAAGGTCATAATGGTGCACAATGAAAACCTGTGGCTTTTGTGTAACTAAAAGGCCGGCTTGTTCCACCCGCTGGCTTGTATACAAGTTTTGGGCAATTTTTAGACATTTTACCAAGGCGCCCCTGAAGAATCCTCAAGGCACCCTGGTTGAGAAAGGCTGATCTATGGTTACCTGTACTTGGAATATCTCCTGTAATGGTGAGCTACAGTGACGCCTGCACTGAATATTTCCAAATCTTTTCACAATGGCTGAAGGAATTTCCTCCAATGAAAGGCAAGTAAAAGGAAGAAGTCAGTTATTGATTACTCTCTAGAGCAGTGGGCTCCAAACTGCGGCCCGAGGGCCAGATGCAGCCCTTTGCTTGCTTTAATTCGGCCCTTGGGGCACTATTTCCTCCTCTGATACCAACAATGGGGCATAATTCCCCCTACTGACACCAAATGATGGGGCACAAATCTTCCCAATGACACCAATGATGGGGCACAATTTCTCCCAATGACACCATCAAGGGGGGCCCAGTGACCCACTGATGGAGCACATTTCCTCTCACTGGCACCAACAATGGGGCACAATTCCTCCCACTGACTAAAGATGGGGCATTGTTTTCTTCCCCGCTGACATCAGGACCTTTTCTACTCCCAGTGGCCACAGTCTGTCCCCCTCTAAAGTCTGAAGGATAGGAAATTGGCCCTTTGTCTAAAAAGTTTGGAGGTCCCTGTTGTAGAGTGTTCTAATACAATGATATTTTTACTTTTTTGTGGAAAAGGGAAGGGAAAGATAAAGAGAAAGGTAAGGGGGAAGGGAAGTAAAGGAAAGGGATGCTCAAGGGAAGGGGATGGAAAGGGAAAGGAAAGGGTAATGGATGAGGAAGAGATGGGAAAGGAAAGGAAAGGAAAAGGGAAG